GGTAGATTTTTCCCTTCTTCTGTACTCCCTTGTGCTGGGGTCAAAATAGGTTGCCCAAGGGTAAGTGAGTCCGTTGCGTGGGCTGTTGATCAGGTTAATAAGTCCACAGTGGGTGTTGCTGCTGGTGGTGCTGCGGCGAGTGCTGACACAATTTTCCAGCCACTTTCCACATTACACTCAACTCCTCTGGCACTTTCTTGGCGCGTGTTATACGTCATCATACTACACGCCTCGTTGGACACTCGAGCACAGCAACAGGAACATCATTTCCGTTCCCTTTACTCTCTCTTTCACTCACGCCTCCAAGCTCTTATTCACTCTCGCATTGAAAGCATTTCGCAATGCGTGGCAGCTTTAAGCGCATTTAAACACAAAACGCGTTTCCGGCTTATGCTTCTAATTATGCACAGCAGATAATCGAGATGTTGGATGTGAAGTGCGTGCTAATTAAAAGGCACAACATTTATGCAATGCCAACTGCAATTCGCAATCGGGCACATACAAAGCCGGCGTCGGCCGCCATGGCAACCAGCAGCAGGAGTTGCTGCTGCTGCTACCTGCAATCTCACTCTRGTTTGCAAACACATCACATATAAACAGCAGATAATCCTGGCAACAGCATTGCACACGTCAGCATTGCTCCCTGCTCTTGCTTTTGCTGCTGCAATCTGCTTTGTTCTGGCAGCTACAGGTGAATCTATATACCAGCCGGGCGTCCTTTTTGTTGCGGAATGTCTGATTGCTGGCCATCGTCACATCCGAGTAGTCGCATTTATTGATTTTGGCCGAACAACTCTCGCTGTTGGAGTTTTTGGAGTGCATTCAATTAGAAAAATAGTTTTCCTAATTAAACAAAAATCGAGCGCAGGTTTTGTATGCATTGGAAAACTGTGCAATGGACATGTGAACATTCACGGTACTATGGCAGAGGGCACAATTAAATATTTAGTATCATAATTTAGGCCAAATCTAAAAACATTAATTATTAATGTAGCTGTTAATTGTCTTTAGTTTGCTCAAAAACCGTTCGTGCTTTTAACTAAGCCTTTACTCATACATATATTTATGTGCATATAAAAAGCCTCAGCTCTTAATTTGCGTTGCAATTAAAATGCGCTTCATTTTACAATTAGTAAACGGTTAACGAAAATGAGAATGTGTGAAAATGTATAAAGACGAGGCGTCTTTGCAGCGGGAGTCACATGCACAGCACACAGACCAAATGCAATGTTGCGCTTACGTATTCTGGGGCTCATCTGTGAATTTAATTTGAAAAGCAATAGCTTTGAATATAAACTAAACATACTGGCGCTTCTAAAATGTCTCTCATTTTATTTAATTCATTCCAAACGTTTTTAATGCTTCTAGCACTGGTACAAGTTAAATTAAATATTTAATGATGGCCTAAGGTAGCTCTCGATACCATAAATCTAGTTTCTGCACTATAAGAGATAGTAGGAGAGCCGAGTGGATACTGCTGTGAATATTACTACTTGAATGCGGTGTTTCAAGAGATCCAAAGTAGACATTCGTTCTAATTTTGGTATCGTTTTCTTTGCCACGCTTAAGGGTTTCAAATGGGCCTTTATTATCAATGTATTGGCAAACGGTTATGCCATCCCCTGTTATAAGTGTAGTATCGTTAATTCCATGTGACAGGTTCTAATGGATAAAAGAGACAAAATAACGAATATTGTGCAGTCTGGGTGAACGCGACTTACCCATAAGCCGATGAGATACAGTAGAAATACGAAACTTTTAACGTTGCTCATTGCATTGTTAGCAACCGAAAGCAGAAAATCGTAGCCGCAAAATGAAAGAAAGGGCAACCAATAATGTCTCTGCGAAATAGTAACCCAAGAAAAATTTTGTATTTTTGAGAAAAATATAGTTTTAAGTTGAGCATTTTGAGTCGAAAATTCAGGCAGAAAAATACAAGTGTAATTGATAACCTCATATGTAAGTAATAAAACATATTTTTTCTTATGTGTATTCATCTTAAAGGCTTGGCTTTCGATATTTAAGTAGTAATAGTGCCAGCGTTTTCGTATATTTATTTATTTTTGATTAACCTCCTATTGTGATTATTTGCAGTATTAATTGATTTATTTCGGTGTGCAATATTTGTTATTAAATGACATTTACTTTTTCGTCTTTACTTACAGAAACAAAAAACATTGCAGACTTTGCGGCAGAATAGAAGTTAATTTCGAAATCGCGTATTTCAGAATGGCGTAGCATACTCTTGTGCGCAGCAATTTAATGCATTTGGACAGGAACAAAATTTACATAATTAGTATAAAT